TCCCCTGCATTTTTTTTTTAAAAGATAATTTTTTATTTCTTTATTTATTCTTTTTATGTGTGTACCATCAAATTGGATCTGACTGGTACAGGAGGCGATTGTTCCTCCTTCTTCAGCAGAGCATCTGGTGGATTTGAACCGCGCACGTCTGGGATTGGATAAGATGCATTTTTATGAGTAAAATAAAAATGCTCAGAAAATAAAATCATACCATGCAAATGAGACGTTAACTTCAAATGTATCTATGGTATAGAAATTGCACAAGATATTTTTGCTTCTTTCCCCAGCAGAATGGTGGACTCAAGGAAATAGATTTTTATCTACTCCTCTTTATTCTTGTACAAAGATGATTAGATGAAGTAATATTAGAATTGAGAGTACTTTTCAAAGTCAAGACTTGATAAATTGCTGTGTTTCATCAGGTGGTTCATGAAATACCAGCATGTAGACCCAGAAGAAGCTGTGAGGATTCACATTGATGTTCAGACGAAGAAATCAGTGGCTGTTCACTGGGGAACTTTTGCCTTAGCAAACGAGGTGAGTTTGTGATAAAAATAGCTAAGTTTATGCTTTACCTGCTAGGATTTCGTCATCACTGAACCCTGCCAGGATGCCAAACTGTGGATCAGAATCTTCCCAGTCATTACATGAATTAAGATGATGAATCACATTAATTAGTAAGATAATATTTAGATACAGTTGCATGCTGTTCTTTTGTTTTATATTTATAATCAGTGGAACATTTTAAAATATAAAGATCTGCGTGTGTAATATGTGAGAAGTAGAAAATGAAGCATTTAGAGTCTAGTAACCCTCTCCCACCCCCTACCTTCGAGGCTTTTGTCTTTAGTAGAAGATAAAGGGCTTGTATACAATAACTGTGATACAAATGTTGAAAAGGTAAATTCTGCAAGCATGAGACATCATGGTCTCCGGGTCAGAGCTTGTAACTTTCTGGAAGGGTCAAGGGGAGCTTTGTGAAAGAGTGACATTGAACTTGGCTGTGAGAAGGCACAGAAGCCAAAAGGGCATGCATATGATTAGAGGTAGCAAGCATGGGCCAATAGTGGGGCCAGTTCAGGAGAGTAGGTGACATGTAGGGCAAGGAAGGCTAGAGAGAGTCTGGGACTTTTGAAATATGTTACGCTTCTGGTAAAAATGGATTCAGTGTCTGCTATATGCAAGGCATTGGGATAAAAGCTGATTTTAGTTCTAGACGAATAGAGGTGGTGGTTCTGGTAGCCTAGTGGGTAAGGAATTGCACAACTAACTTAGAGACATGTGATTTGAATCCTTGGGATAAAGATAGGTAGTTTCCTTCCATGGGAATTACAGCTTCTGAAAACGCACTGGAGGGTCAGCTGTGAGTTAGTTCCAACTCGACGGCAACAACAATACAGAAGAGCTGTATTTTATCTTAAGGTAGCCGAACCCTACAGCTCTGCACTAGCCAGGTTCTGGAGTCAAGTGGAAGGAGAGCATAAACCTTTCTTTCCTGTCCTGGATTTAGCACCTGCCCCCAGCAAAATTTAACAGTGGAAGGTTAGAGCTGAGCAACTTCTCTCATTTTACATTCTGCAGCACCCTTCACATCTGCTGTCTTCTCGTGCTATTCTCAGCACTCCCTCTGTCCTTATTATGGCTTGTTCTGGTCCCAGCATGCTGTGTGTTCCAATATTGCCCATTATTTTTTCCTGACCCCTTCTTTCCCCAACCAAAATCACCATCTTATGATGCTGTAACTCTTAATCACATTGTTGGGGGAGGGAATGGAATGAATCAATGACCCCAGGGAGTGGTAGAGAATGAATGCTAATAGGAATGAATCGTTGTATGCATTTGGTGAAGGGTAAGGTTAGAGATGGGTTTCTAGTGACCCAGTACTCTGTCTGGTGGCAGTTTCATAGCTTTAACTCACGGCAACCCTGTGTACGCAGAGTGAAACGCTGTACAACCCTTTGGAGTCTGCCTTTCTTTCAGCGATCCTGTAATTCCCAAGCAGAGTATCTGTCTTCAGGGACTGGCCCTCCTGGTCACATGCCTAAAATGAGCAAAGGAAGTCTCACTGTCTAGCTGCATTTCTGCCAAGGCAGGCTTGTTCTTTGGACAGCCCTTCGTGTATTCGGTATTTCTTACCAACACCACAATTCAGAAGCATCACTTCTCCTTTGTTCTTCCTTATTGTCTAGTTTTCATGTATATACGAGGCTATTAAAAACACCATGGCGTGGGTCAGATGGACCTTAGTCCTGCTTTTTATCAAGGTCCTTAGCAGCTGATTTGCCCAGAATCTCACACATTATTTCTTTTTTTTAAAAAAATTTATATTGGTTTGCATACAGAATTCATGTAGATTGTGTTTCACACATTCCATCATTCATATTGTGTTTCATTCAGGATCATTCCCATACATTGTATTTTATATCATTTGATTTCTTTACTGCTGCTCCCATGGCTTAAAAAAGGGTGTGCCTTACTCAAGCCATGTTATTTTCAAATGCCTCAAGTGTATGTGAAAGTTGGACAGTGAGTAAGAAAAAACAGAAGATAAATTGATGCTTTTGAGTTGAGATGCTGGTAAAAATAAACATA